CTTGCACAATACTACAGAACCTATGTTTTGCAGCCTCTCAATTTTTTCCTGGCCTTAGTTACGAATTTTCAAACTACCGTGCTCATGCACATTTTTGACGTCGTTCTGGACGGCGCTCAAGCGGTTTTTTTCGCGAGAAAAACTATGGAAGAGGTAGGAAGTGAGCTTATTAGTCGAAAACATCTTTTGTAATTCAAGAATGTCATTTTTTTCTCTGTGCAAAAATTTGTCTCGCCTACGGGAATCGAATTTGCTGGTCTGAAGTATGCCTGAAAATTCAAAAAAAAACTTGCAGAATCTCAAACATTATTGAAGGTGTGTACGTGTGCTACAGATGCTGGACGCACCCATTGGCCTAGAAATTCTGCTTCAGAAACCTCACTGAAATTCCACGCAGGTGTTTTTTGAGATTGACATTCGTTTATGCAGCGGAGAATGTGGGCAGGGGAGGTAAGGAGGACAAATGGGGGAGGATGGGGGAGGGAGGGGGGGGGGGGGGTCGTACGGATGGATACCTTCAAGGGAGGGAATCGTAAATGAGGGTCCCGGATCGCATCAACACGCTTGACACTGTATGATATATAGATTGTCGTAATTGGTCTCCAAACAACGAAAAAAAGGGTATCAGAGCCAAGTGCCCCGCGCCCCGCATTTGAGGTAGCGAGGTAGCGCGCAACGCGCGGAGACGCAGACGAGCAGCGGAGACGTACCAGAGCCGGTGGCATTTGACTGTGCTCAATGATCTCCACGAGATCATAAAGAAAACCTACAGTGCTGAACATAATTATAGAGACACTCTAGAAATCGTCGTAATTTACGTTCTTGTCAGTGAATCTGTCTGAAACTTTGCTGTATGATGCGCATGTAAGCCTACCATAAATCCTCAGAACGGCTTCGGCTTCCAATCCCGTTGATTTCGAACGGAGAAAAATGGAAAAATTCGAAAAAGCCTGTTTTGCAAGCTGGACGTAATTAAAACATTGTCGCATTCTTTGACTCTCAAATTTTTTTGTAGAGTTACATCCAAGGATATGCTTTTGCAGCACCTAGGACCTGTCATGCTACTCAAGGAAAGATGATCCTTGCATTTTTCGTTTCCAAAGGCATTAGAAGTCAAACCGCGTCAACAAACAGCTGGTTTGAGGAGTTTTCAAGCCCGCGTTCATTTCAAATGACAGTCCTGGAATACACTTAGCCTTTCTGATACATAAGGTAAAGAGCGCTTTCGTAAACTCTTCGTAATCGCTGATATTGACAATCAGACTCCAACCCCATCATAAGATTGTCACGCTTTTACACCACTCACTTTCCAATGTTCGTGAAGTGATGGACTCGATTTATTACATTGTCTACATGGAGATGCACCTTTTGCAACAACTTTTAGATTTTTTCTAGTGCTGCAGTTGCCATCTAGATCTGAAATACTTTTAACGAAAATTCTATGTGAGCAGTAGATACAACATAATCAAAAATCTCACTAATTTATTCTCTGTTTCATGTCGCATTTTGCGCGGTAGCTGGGATTAGCAAGATTTTGAAGTTTCAAGCGGTCTCCTGTTCGATTTCTTGATTTGAGTTGGATATGATTGTGCAGGGTGCTCGACTCAACTCTCAACGGATGACAACAGCGGCTGAACCAGAATGTGCAACCCCGAAATTTTTTCCTGACTAGGCACACAAGTTCATTGTTGTACGTGTATTATTGCGGCTACATTGCAGCCTTTTCTGTAACTTGAAAATCGAGTTTTGTGGTGCAAAAGCGCGACAAAACTATGGTGAGGTTGGAGTCTGATTGCCAAAATCAACGATTACGCGAAGTTTACGAAAGCGCTCTTCACCTTTCCATCAAAAAGGCTAAATGTATAATTTCAGGACTGTCATTTGAAATGAACGCGGGCTTGAAAACTCCTCAAACCAGCTGTTTGTTGACGCAGTTTGACTTCTGATGCCTTTGGAAACGAAAAATGCAAGGATCATCTTTCCTTGAGTAGCATGACAGGGGGGGGCGTATCGTTACGTGCGGTCTTCAAATTGGGAAACGTCGCGCGCGACAGGCTGCCAGTGACCAGACTCGGGAAGTTCAGCCAGCATGATCCGCAGCACATAGTTTCTCAGTTTCTCATCCTTTGTTGAGGTTCACAGACTATTCTCATATTAGTTTTGCTTAGTTATTTGAAGTTTTGCCGTAGAAGTTGTAAAATGAGCTCTTTGAAGGATAAGAAAGACATAAATTGAAGAAGGTAAAATACTAACAATATAGGAGAAGCATGGTAATCTAGTGGTATAAATCTGACAAGTTTTCTGCACTGCTGCTTCCCGCGCGCGGTTACTTTAACGCCGCGTTGCGACGTTTTCCATTTGGCAGACCGCACGTAACGAGCGCCCCCCCATGACAGGCCCTAAGTGCTGCAAAAGTTTCATATTCTGGGATGTAACTCTACAAACAAATTTGGGAATCAAGGAATGCGATAATGTTTAAAAAGGCCAGGTGTCCACAGAATTATGTCCAGCTTGCAAAACAGATTTTTTCGAATTTTTCCATTTTTCTCCGTTCAAAATCAACGGAATTGGAAGCCGTTTTGAGGAGTTATGGTAGGCTTACATGCGCACCATACAGCAAAGTTTCAGACAGATTCACTAACAAGAACGAAAATTAGGACGATTTCTAAAGTGTTTCTGTTAAATGTCTAGCACTGTATAAGATTATATATCGTTGTGATCCTCATGAGACGGCCAGGAGCACTGACAACGTCGCGGGTCTTGAAAATCACTTCGTAATGAGATAGAATCAGCATTTATGTGGCGACTCTCTGAGCAAGATTTGAGCGCAGTTTCTTGTTTTTATTGAACACCAGTGGCTTTCATAAACTTCCAACGCATCGCAGTCTAGAGAAAGGTTAAATGAGAAATTTTGTCCTAGTTTCTAATTTAATTTTTCAATAAAAACCTTCTTTTCAAAAAAAAGGCCATAAAACGCAATCCTTCGGTTTTTGAGCTTCATTTGGATGTCACTACTATATTTGCCTCATTCACATTTATCCCTATATAGTTATGTCATTACTTACGTCATGATAGCCGGGGCTTCGCCCCGAATGACTTGTTACTTCTCTCCGGGTGAAGATTGTGTTCTGTCATGACGCTCAAAGTGAAGGTTACCGGAGTACACGGCTCTATGTATCGAAGGTATGCCTGCAAGGATACTTAGCGCCTCCAAGGAGATCTCGAGTGTGCATCACGCCTTCAAAGGGCCGAAGATCGACTCCTCCCATTGCTGCCTTTTAACTGGGCTCATTTCAAATAGTAGATGCACCGTACAATCCACCCTGCATTTTTGAGTAGCTTAAACAAAAATCAGTTAATTTGGAAAAGCCTTTTGAGTTTCTTTAATCTTAAAAACAGAAAATGAGTGTTGCTGAATTACCAGAGCTTTAAGCATTTAGTACTGATCATGCTTCCAAAATCAAAAATGATATTTTCTCCGGACAGTTCTATCTGCTCATTCGAAAATGTTTGTTATTCTATGCTGATATGAGAATTGTGCGAATGGTTTAGCCGCTCACATAAAACAAAATAGATGTTCAAATTCTCACAAATGTAAAACTGGAGGAACATTTCTTTTAGATTTTTTGTGTAAGCCATTTTTTGAATGAAATAGGGTCAGATTTTGAAAACGCTTGAGAAGTCGATTTCTCATTCCAAACAGCATGTAAATATTTATCAGAATAATTTTGTATACTTATGTCAGTCATCTGTGAGAAAATAAATTCAATTGTCCGATAGTCTTAATTCAATAATGTAGGTTGGTGCAACCATTCCTTGATTTCCACATACGCAAGTATCAGCAAAATCATTACTGTTCCTTGTTCTACCTTACTACCTTGTTCTTCAAAAAAGAATCCCTTCCCAATAATCCTTGTTATTCTCACCTAGTGTGTTTGAGATAGAAAAAATATGCTCTGCAGAACATATTTGAACTATTGACATAGGTCGTTTATGGAAAACTCGTGAACCATCAAATGATTGCTGATGAGAACTTTGCTAATTCTTGCATGTTTTAGGTGACGGTAGTTAGATTGAAACAATACAATTAGTGAAGAGTACGGGTGAGTTGAGGATATACTCTAACGTTCTCTTTACCTTACCCCCGCTGCAACTCAGCCTTATGTTCTTTCCTTGACATTAAATCACTAGTCATTGCACTAATTTACTGCACAATGAAGATAGTCAGTAGCTGGCAATGCTCAGATAATCGCCGGGGGCAGGCGGTCCGCAAACTCGCGCTTTTCTGCAGGCGGTCAGCAGAATTTTGGGGCGTGGCCAAACCTTCAGCGGGCGGTACTTCCGCGTTCTGCCAGCGGGCAGCAGTACAGAATTTTCTGCGAGCGCTCGTCAAATAATATCTTCCAGCGAGCGCTGGCCAAACTTTCAGCAAGCGCTCGGACTCTTTTTAGGTATTTTCGGGCGTACGTCGAGCACAGGTAAGACTCTGTGTGGTAGAGGTGTCACCGGTGGTTTAATTACTCAAGTTTGAGGTACTTTCTCTCAGCGGAAAGTACCTGGGGGTTGCGCGGTCCTCCACAAAGGACCGTGCGGCCCTCAAAAATTTTGCATATTCTCGCGGAAAGTCCGCGAGAATGCGGCCACTGCGCCGCAGCTAATCCATAAAGAAACCGCGATTGTTCTTCAAGCATTCGTCTTTAATTTTGCCAACTTTCTTCCAAATTTCTGCAAGCGGGCCGCAAAAAATCAACGAACTATTTTTCCGGTGCGCGCTTGCTCAAAATTCGCATGGCCGCCTGCCCCCGGCGGTTATCTGAGTGGGTGGGGCACGACCTCTGAGGAGCGGAAGTGCTAGAACCCTCCTGAATGAAATGCTGGTGCTAACTATGGTGCGAGGAAAGGTGCTAGGAATTTTCGCACGCCTCCTGATGACACTTAGGCTGCCTTAAAGCATTGGTTCTATGAATTTGCGAAACGTATTTTACGAACACAAGCCTTACTCGTTTTCAACCATTTCAGAGTAGTGTCGCCTTCTCGAGACGTGAGCCATATGGGTACATCCCATTTGTACCTGAAAGTAACGATAAGCAAGTCGCTTAGCAAATCAAGTCGTTAAGCACTCTTGACGGTGGAAGCGATATTTCTCATGCTCCTGAACTGACGTATTCAATAAGTAGCGTTGCTGTCTTATCTCTATTCTGGTACCTAGAGTTCTTGCAGTCACCAATGGAAAGCCCATCTTCAAAAGGAAGAGAAAATATTCGAGAAAAGTGTGATGACGCCAGCTTACCATCTTTGTCCATTGAGTCCCAAAGTGCAATACGTCTAAAGTTAATCCATTTGGTCCTTCAACCTCATCTATGACCTCAGATATAGCTTGAAACAGGTTCTCACTTTTGGTGCATTTGTAGGCAAACTTTTTGAGATAGTGCTAAACAAGTCTTTATCTAGAGCGCTCGAATGCGCTAAATTCTAAGTTTCTTATGATATAGGCCCGTAGTAAACCCCTCGTCAGTGCATCTCCTCTGAAGCGGGCCTAGGTTGGCCTTACGGCGCCTCAGCGCGGTGTCAAGTGAGTCATCGATCCGGATGCGGATCGTTTTGTAGGCATGATAGAAACTGCGTGTTCTCAAAGAAAAAATAACTTGAGAGATTGTGCAGGTTTAGTGTGATACACGCGGCAGCACCGGGTTCGCGACCGGCAGGTGCCAACATTTTTGCTATATCGCTAGGGCAATCTTTGATAGCAGCTACTATCAAAAAAATTGATGGTGGGCGCTGTCTTTGCACAGCTCATCGTCCATTCTTAATGCACTGTAGCAAGGGGGATCGTAAGATTAGCATACGGATCTCTTCTTCAGCGCAGATCATCTGAGCCGAGATGGAGTTTACTAAGGGACGTAGATTTCTCATTAAGATGTACAAATAACTTGTGAAATACAGAGGAAAAAGTTACCCCGACTGAAGCTTTTAATCTTTGAGCTTAATAGAGTGCAAAGTAGTCACGCTTGAATAATAGTGATAAAGCCTAATAATTAATAATGCCTCGTCTTAGTTAATGGACGTTTACTGTACTACGCCACTCCTCTGTATGCAATTCTTAATCTGTACGATAATTTCGAATTTTTCATAGCAACGAAATGATTGCCTTGACAAATGTCAAAAAGTGATTCATATCATTTTGAGGTGCATTTTATTATGTCTAGCGCCTGAGTCAATTGCGAATTCCTCCTAAATGAAATAGTGAATCAACATTTTTCGGTATAAAAGGAGCGTCATTTATTACTCTTCCGATTTCCTGATTTCCCAATTTCCTCCAATAAATAATTTCCATTCGTCTCTTCGCAACATGGCGACCACGGACTAATCAAGAACCGCACATCAAGAAGCTCCACGATCAAAGACATTAACAATTCGAGATGTCCAGCACTCTACGCCAAGAAATCGACATCGCAAAACGACAACTCCTTCGAGCCATAGAAGAGGCAAAACGTGAGCGTATAGAACTTCCTCAACTTCAAACTCTCAATGATGATGAACTACTCAATATTTATGAAGGTCACACGTCCACTCATGATTCACTCTTTCGCACATATAGCCGCATTTACCACTTCTGGAATGAATGGCAAAAATTCAAACTTGTGGACCCGCAAGAAAATCAAATACTACAACAATACTTAGCCAAACATGGCAATTTTCGACGGACATTAGAAGATACCGTCGACACACTTCAACGACTGGATCACGAACGACCGCTAATAGAAAGCGAACTAAAACGCAAAAACGTCAATTTTGAACTTTATGAATCCGATGCCGACTCGCTATCTTCGGAAATCCCACACTCCAAAGGACATCAAGCAGCAACACTTCCGCACACTCCCAAGTCACAATTGCCTCATAATTCCAGTCGTATTCTTTGTAACCACCACTCTATTTAAGAGGTCATCCGGCAAGAAGTATCAATAATTCTTTGCCGGGGAGTTTATCTGTACGATAATTTCGAATTCTTCATAGCAACGAAATGATTGCTTTGACAAATGTCAAGAAGTGATTCATATCACTTTGAGGTGCATTTTGTTATGTCTAGCGCCTGAGTCAATGCGAATTCCTCTTAAATGAAATAGTGAATCAACATTTTTCGGTATAAAAGGGGCGTCATTTATTGCTCTTCCGATTTCCTGATTTCCCGATTTCCCCCAATAGATAATTTCCATTCGTCTCTTCGCAGCAGGCCAGGCACCAGGGCCCGGCACGAGTCGGTTTAAGGATTCATGAAGACGACATCATTGACTTTCGAAAACCGAAGTCCCCTTTAACCTTATTTTTACGAAGTTCCATTTGACTTGGTCTGCTAGAAATCAACTTTCTTTCCGAAATGTTGAAAAAAACTTGCTTTCGAGAGCGGTTGCTCTACTCAAATAAATTTTCTCCAACTTGTGATCAAAACACTATTTTGACGATATGATCCTTAAATTTTGAGACAATCTCCGAAAATCTTGCTTTTGAGAGCATTTGCTCTGTTTGAATTTGAATACTCTTTCCTGGATGTGAGCATGGGAGCGAGATTGACATTGTGGAAGGAATAACATTATGTACGCTGATCTTCAGAGCAAAACACTACTTTAACACAATATAATCCTCTTTGCGCCCAAATGCTGAAAAGCTCCGAAACTAGCGACTTAGAAGAAGATGACAACGAAAGAGAGCCATAAGTCTGAAAGGAAAAACCTGGACTAAGAGGCAAGAACTTGGCATTGTAATGCGATAATCTAACAAAGCGTATCAATCCAAAAACAAAAACAAAGGAGAGGCAACGATATGAAAATGTCGTGCTCTGGGACAGATTCTTGGCCGGAGAACCCGTCCATGATGGACAGAACTTACGTGAACTTACAGAAGAAAAAGATTGCTTCACATAAGTTTTCAAAACCTTTTACGTATTTCTTCCTCAACTAACGTTATATGCATACAGAACGAATCTGATGTCATAGCGTTGCGTTTTAGCCACAGACAAGACTTTTACTTGTTTGGGGAACAATTTTCGAACTCCCGCGCTGCTGCCGGCTTGCCGTTGGCATATCGGAAGCGCGCCAGCGGCATGCTAGCAGACTGCGTCATGTTGACAACTTGAGAGCGGCGTACTGAAGCGGGAGCGAGTCGGTAGCGTGCCGCCGACATGCCAAACCACAAAAACATATCTTTTGCGTTTTTTCCCCCAAAACGATGTGCAGCCTGCTTCCAAACGATCTGTGCCGGCCTCTGGCTGGCCCATGTTCATCAAATCATTCAAAAAAAATTTGTACATTCTGACAGCGAGAATTGCATCGTGCCATTATGCAACAACGAAACATACAAGATTTCAGTGGTATGCACCTACATAGGCAATTCTATATCACAGATTCATTAGAGTACAAGCATGGAGTTAGCCTTCTACATGCGATTTTTTAAAAAATTCAAACTGAGTGCAAAAAAACAAAGAATCCGACATTTTCGTTTTTTCAGCCGGTTTTGCCAATCTTAGCCTTGGAGAAGACAAGAATACAACTTTTTGAATCTTGTATCGAATTGTATCGATTGTATCGATTTCATTTGTATCGAACTATTAGGGTCGCATACTTGTTCCCTAAAAACCCGCTTTGTCACTCATGTTCCAGTTTTTGGCTGCACGTAACACGTATATAAAAATGTTGTTAACACTCCATGGACCAGCTTTCAAAGCTTACGTTATCATACAGTGACTTAAATGTGAAGTTAAGTGCTGAAAATTAGAATTTGTCTATGAAATACCTTATAAGACAAATTTTAAAAAGGATGTGATAAGCGAAAAACGCACCGTCAGTCCTCTTCTAAAATTCTTGTTCCCTAACACTGCACGTAGCATCGCAATAATTGCAGCACCTTTTTTGTAGCTGATAGTGTCAAAAGATTTTCGAATTTCGTGATATTCATGTATTATGGATGAGATAGGTCGACTTCTGACTGACGCGTCCACTTGCATGGCCTCCTCAGTTCCCGAAAGGAACATAACATAATCCTAAAAAATTTCATACAAGGGGACTGCCAGAGTCAAAGAGGCCATTTTCAAAAACTCGCATCTGAGGAATGCAATGTGAAACATTGATTTTCAACCTATCCTTTTTCGTGAAATACTTGACAAACTTATGACCCAACTTCACAAACTTATGAGCCAGTTCATTGCAGAAAAATTTTATATGGGCAGTGCAAATCTGGACATATAGATGCATGCTAGGTTTATTGCTGACAGTACAACATACTGCTGCCTCTGGATGAGCAAAACAGGCGTTTTGATTTCCAAATTTTCCAATTCGTATGCGCAATTTCCTTGCAATAGCTACTCATATCCTTAATCACAAAGAATTTTAGGCAGATCGGAATATACGAAAGACAGATTCGAAGACGGTTATGTTGTACCCAATAGCACGCGTTTGGGTGGCCACTTCAACTTTTGACTAATCCCTTGTCATTTATGATCTTGCAGCGAAACCAATATCTCGCTTACGGTAGAATAAGGCTTTGGTATTCAGGGTCGATACCCGGCCAGATTCGGATTAATTGCAGAACGTGTGATTCAGATTCTTAGGCACAAACAGTATTAAATCCCAAGCTTAGTCCACTGCTTTAATGCCTACGACAGCCTAGTGATCCACAGAATCTCCAAGCCCTTGTTCTTTAGGTTGAAGTTTTGCAACTGCTTCCATAATCCATTTCTTTCTCAAAGTGGCGCACTCTTTGATCCACATTATATGCATTGTCATGTGTGATACAGATGCACGATTCTGCCCTTTTATCGCATGCAAGATTTACTGCAAATATACGAAGAAAACAAGTGTTGCATTTTTTCTTGAGGATACTAGATGTTGTCTTCAACTTCTAGTTCATTCTTTATCGAGTGTAGGGACCTACTCTAATGATCCTGTATCCGCCATTTCGGCTCTATGTATTAGGTTGATGCAAATATAATGGCCTGCGAACTCCCCTTTGATGTGATAAACCTTTTCGAAAAATCCACCTTTCTGAATGCGGTAAAAACCATCGAAAGCAGCAAATTTTCCATAATACAGTGCACATTTACCTGCACCAGTTTCATAAACGGACAAAAAAAATATGGATTGTGAAACAAAAAAAAAGTTCTTTTTGAAACCTAGTCTTTGACTAATCATAACTTCCTTCAAACTTCGTATGATAAGTAACCTTCTTGTATAGCCGCAGGCGAATAGTACAAAATCATAACTCATAATAACGGGCTAAAGGTGTTTACGTTTTTTTGTCTGTGTGTGCGTGTGTCTGTCTGTCCGTTACGAAATTCGTGGAGCGTGTTCCAGCCAACGTCCTAAGCCCAAATTTTGCATAGCGCACGCTACCAGCATGAAAGCCTACTATGCAAAAGCATGAGGGGATCCGTTGAGTGAATCCCTCAGAAATTGCGCGCCAAACGGATCCAGCTGGCTTCTGTCAAGCAAAATTAGGTCTGTATCACCACTTTTTGCAAAGTCGTGGATGTGTTTGACAAGCTAATGTGCAAGCCATGGACGTTAAAACAAAAAATTGAACTAAATTGATTAGTTTAGGATAATGGCGCCAAAAAGAATAAGTTGCATAAATGTCCAATTTGCCAAGATTTTACCCGATCGTTTGAGAAAATTTTTGCACAGGGATGTAGTCTACGGTGATTATTGTCGTTATGGCGACTATCAGGCCATAAAAAGTCCAAAAACCAATTCAAATACGCATTAATTCTTCTCGGAAAAGTTTTATCCACGCGAAAATACCGATCTCCCACAAAAAAGCTCTAGGAATGAGTAGTTGTTTACAAATCATTCGGGTTAGCCTGCATGGCTCGGTGAGTTCCACTGTCATTATTATGCGGGAGTTAGGCATATAGAAAGTAGGGCCAGTGCGAGCCTCTGCGAAGCAGAGGTGACGCACTGGTACGACATAAAGGGTTTGGATCAACCTTTTTCAACATTCGTTCGGTATGCCTCGAAGTCCCAAATATAAATTTTTTAAATTTTCTGCGTATGAACAGCTGGATGTTTCTGCAGATGCTGCTAATAGGATGCCCTAGCGCTACGCTTGCAGAATTAAGCAAACCTCTGGCAAATGACCTTTTCAAAAGAAATTTATGCGTCATGTGACCGCAAACGGTTACCCATGTTGAGAAGCCCATATCTCAGTCTGAATAACTTCAAAAAATGAGCTGAAGTATGCATAATGTAAGCAATTTCTATTAAAGACGATAACTAAATTCTTGGGGAAGTGCCAATCAGACGCGCTCGAATTCTGGCCAGAAAAGTGAATACAACAAATTCTGAATACATATCAGAGGCGTACTCAGGATTTCCCTGGGGGGGGGGGGGAGGGGACAAAGGAATTTTTCCAATGAAGGTGCGTGCGTCAGCCACGCACTTCGAAAAATTTTTTGGTAAGCTCCTCAAAAATTTCGCGGGCGAGCCTCGAAAGTTCAAAAAAGGAAAAAAATTTGTAAGGCTAAATTAAATTTTTAAAATTTTTAAAAATTACTTTAATTATATACAAGTGCAGGCAAGTCATTTGCACAATTTTATAACCCATGTAAGTAATTTTTAAGAATTTCGCGACCCGTGGGCCCTCCCAGCCTCCCCCCCCCCTCGGTACGCCACTGATACATATGTACCCTATTTTCAGGTGTATAAGCCGCACCCTTTTTGCTCTAAACGCGAGCAGACCCAGGCGTGCCGCCGCCCATATGTCTCGCAAAGCGGTTGCCTTATCGCATACAGCTCTCACCTAACGCGCTCCATGATGACAATCACTCATTTGGCGTGTTCGCCTTTAGATTAAAAAGGTGCGGCTTATACACCTGAAAATAGGGTATATAAAGCTGAGTGTTGGTAAATCGTTAGTCAGTGTTCTCCGTATAGAAATTTTTGTATGTGGACCGATCAACGCTAAACTTTGCATACCATTTGATTCACCTGGCTTGGCTTTGGCGAAGGCGGGGCTTCGTGGCCTAATTAAGGTTAGGTAATGATCAGAGAGCACCCGCCTCAACGGAGCCAAGCCAGTTGAATCAAAGGTTACATATGTTCTCGACATCGGTCCACCCCGCAGGCTACTTTTCGCAGCGAAATTCTTGCTACTTTTATTGATTTATCGATTTCAAAGAAAAATATTTTTATCATTCATCATCAAAGGGCTTTCAATTTTCATGTAAACAATAGCGGTCGAACTCATTTCATTCCACGACAAGTGAAATGCGAGGTACTTCAAATACAGGCGAAAGTTGAAACGCAGTAAAGACTCTTCAGGGTTGCGCTATCTTGCTCTTGGTTGAGCCAATCAAACCCACTGTTCGGGCGAAGAGGGGTTTGCCAACTAGTAACTTTATAATAAATGGAGTTGGAAGCTCGCTCCAACAATTATCAGATAGAGCATGAAAATAGATTCTCAATGGTATACCATGTGTATTTCAAAAAAAAAAACATTTTAATGGGAAAAAGTTGCTCTGAAAAAAGCTTGAAAATTGGCCATTATTTCTGCATCAACTTCATTTTGACTTAGCCCCATATGCACGTCATCCCTGCTGTGGAGAAGAGGGAATCTGAGAGGGAACGCGTCATATTTCGCTACTCTAGATATCTGCATTCCTCTTTTTCTGTCTATGTTATGAAAGTTCTTGTACCCTGATACTTGAGCATAGAAGGCGGAACCGTCATATAAGCTGAGAGCTCGGTGCTTTGTGTGATCCCCTGGGGATAATCCCTTGTTTTCAAAGTCGTCTTCCTTTTCAGAAAATTGATAAAAACGTCGTAAAGTTGTACTAACCAATATGCAGGTTGTGAGTTTTTCGATGAACCTCAGCTCGCGAACAGCGTTTCGTTGAAAATTTCGATACCCTGAGACTACAATAACTTCCACTACGAACATGTCTGACAGTGACATAGTACTCGTAGGTACGTTCACAGCATTTCATCGAGCTTATAGGAGGATGAATGACTTCAGTAAAGTGAACTTCTGGTGATCCCGTGGCTATCCCTAAGGGATCACATGAAAAAGTCAAAATCTTAGTTTGTATGGCGATGTTCTATCATCCACTATACTCAGATATTAGCGTGTGTGAATCTTCATAAGATAGTTAGAGAAAGAATAACACAAATACTTGGAACCGCAATATATGACGCGTCTCCCCCCCCCCCCCCGATGCACTCGTCCGGGATGTACGTGCGTTCGTGCAGGCCTTATGTTGTGCACAGCTTTATTTCTTGGCTTGTAGAAAAACTCTATTACTTTGCGAAGAAAGTGAATTCTGTTTCATTATATAAAAATAAATATTCTTTGCATGTATGTAGCTCACGTCACATAATATCAATGTTCAAATAAGCCATTTTTAAACGGAGAAATGTTTGAATAAAGTTGCAAAATTCAGCTGCGCACCCAAAATCACGTCGAAGTTTGGAAAGTTGCTGAAGGTTTAAAACCTTGTCATAATTTTTCGGAAAAAAACCCAGAGCGTCAAGCGACATTAGGTGAAAGCATATCGGCAGGGCAATTGCAGCAAAGTGCTTTGTTTGCCATCTCTAGCTTCTTTAACTTTTTGAGAATCAAATTGAATTGATCAAGTGCATATTTTGCTCACTCAACTTCTGTAGAACATTAGCAGATAAACAAGTTAAATGAGTATTGAACCGTAGTATGCCACAGATTAGACCGTGTCACTACCAAAACTTGCTTGTGCAATGATTCAGCCTATCGTAGCTGAACGAAGAAAGAAGTTATATTCGAAAGAAATTGGCTGAACCATATCTGGTTGGCAAGCAGACGGGTATAGAAGAAAGGCTTCTCGGTTGGCTCAAAATTCTTATATGTAAGCTGAATGTGTGTCTGTGTGGCCGGCGTGTCAGGATCCTTCAAAGGCCTGCCGCGTCTTTTCCAGGCACGCCCTTGGGGGGCAATAATCTCTTCGCGCCTACTTCGCGCTTGTGCCGCTTCTCCCACATTCTTGCGATAGTTCTCCTTCGAACTATTGCCTTGGCT